GCTGAAACTTCCCGAAATCACAAAAGAGTTCCCCTACCGGGTCTGTATACTTCGTGACTTTGTTCCCGGTTACCGGGTCTGTATACACTTCGTTTGATAAATTATGGTGAGATGCAGTGGACCTCTTTACTTCCTTACACCCTATAGATGTCTATTGAAAACTTAGGCCTATCGTGGTAATGGGTCTTTTTCAGAACTTTTGGACCAGAAAGCTCTTGATTTTTATGTTTACCTTTTTTCAGCCTTGTTTCTTCCAGTGGAGCAAGATCATGGATGTTAAGGAATTTGGGTCTCTTTCTATGAAGAGACTCATCCAACTGTGCCTTTGTGTATGCTGTGGTTTGCAGGTTTTTGGAGCACCACCTCCCACCCTGAAACTTGTTAGTGTGGTATGTGTAAATTTCTTTTATGTTTGGGAGGTCCTTCAAGCATAAAAGGTGGGTGGTTGGTGGGTGCTCTGGTGTGGTTTGCTCTTCCTTTCCTATCAAACATCTATCGTCCTTATAATCTCCCATTCTTCTTTTTTAATGTTGTTACTTCTCTTGTAACACCTCTTATCTTCTGGCGCTCATATATGACCTTATGCAGTTGCGAGCGCCGTAAAACCTCTACTAAAACTAAAAGCATAAAAGGACCCTTATGACTTATGATAACTCAACTGACCACTGCTGTCTTATTTGACCTCAAAAGCCTTTCTTTTATATTCCTTAGGAAAGGAGTCTAGGGTTGACATAAGATTTAGGTAAAAAAAACCCATTGAAGACGTGCAGAGTAGTAGGACATATATAGATCTACATGGTCTTGTGTACCGATTTTTCTGTCCTGAATTTTGTGTGTCATCAAACAAGCACTCTACCTATTTCATGACTTAGTCTATCAAACATTGAGTTGAGTAAATGTTGACGTTTAGTGAGCTCCTTAAAAGAATGCAAGGATTTTAGATTTTAATTTGACAATGACTTTATTGATTTCAAGAAATTCTCCATACATGTGTTACAATGTGGTGGAGTTGGCGCTCATCAATTTTTGGGCACATGGAGTTATTAGTATCATCTTAAAACATGTTCACTTATCTTGCTTTTGAAGCGCTTGCAACTGCATAACAAGGTCATATGAGAGCACAGGATACATTTAACATTTTTGGTTGGTAGGAAATTTTGAATTTTGCTTGGGTGGTGGCTGAAGCCTACTGTTATCAATTTTGACCCCCAAGGGATCTTTAACGTGTGCAACTTGCACACGGGACCTCTGAGATCTTTCGCCCTTATCCAAGAAGACTAGGTGTTTGATCTTACCTCATAAGATCAGGGGTGTGGCTGAAAGACAACAGTAAGAAGGAGTCAAGGAGTAGCAGCAGAAAGGCTGCAGAAAGCGTCAGGAGCCCAGAGGAGGTGAGGGACAAAGGGGGTGGGGGCAGAAAGTGGAGACGAAAGCAGATGACAAAACATTGATAGAGAGCAGGAAAAGAAGTGAAAGGAGAACATTTTAGAGAATTCAGTTGCTGTCCGGTTTAAAACCGGGCTCCTGTTGAATGAGAGGTGAACACCGTAACCTCTCGACCACGAGAGTCCCCTCTACACATATTTCATAAATAGAAGTCGAGATATTTGCGATTGAAGGAGGTGAAAGTCACCATGGGGCAGAGGAAAGATTAGCAAAAAATATTATCTATAGTTTGGTTACATCCAAAGCTTAAGTGTGTCTCTGTGCTGCAAAATTCAGATTTAGGCGTTTGATACAGTAAGAACAAAAAGCAATTGTAGTTACTGTTCTTCTTACGGCGACAGGCAATCAGGAATTTTCTTTCACTCTCTGTGAAGGAATGGGTTTTCTGTAGAATCTTATTTAGGATCGATGAAAGGCAAGCAATACATACTTTGATCCTAGTGTATGTTGAATGTTTATGATACCCTAACTTTTCTCATAGTTAAGATTTCAGAGTGAAATTTACTTTATTTCTTTTCTTTATTTGATTCATACAGTTATACCGCCATGGTGACCGCAGTCCTGCTTACATCTACCCAAAGGACATACACCAAGTTCCAGGCTCTTGGCCAGATGGTTTGGGTTGGCTGTCCAATGTAAGATCTCTAACAAATCTATATTTGAGCCTCAGTATTCTGAATGTCTTAAAAAAATCTTTTGATCTTTAAGAAGTTTTTTTTGTTTTATACATACTTCAGTTATTATAACTATTATTATGAAATATCAATTTTGCTGACTCCAGTCAACAGTAAAACCAAATAATGAAGATAATAGAGTTGGAATGAAGGGAATGAGGACTCCAGAGAAAGAAAGTTTGAATATTAGACTTAAAACCATGTTAGGAATCCTGTGGTGTTTGTCTCTCTCTCTTTCTCTCTCTTTCTCTCTCCCTCTCTCTCTCTCTCTCTCTCTTTCTCTCTCTCTCTCTCTCTCTCTCTCTCTCT